TTACCGCTTTAGCATCACAAGGAGTCGTCAATATAATATATAATAGCAGCAGCCTCTTCTCTGCATGTGAAAATGATGTGCTTTACAGATTTTCGTGTTGTCCATTAAACTTTTAAGAACATTAACACAATAAAATGGCAGATCTAACGAGTTTTCTTTTTTTAATTTGAAAAAAAAACACTTATCTAATTTATGTTTTTGATAAATTAAAAAATTTATTATTGGGAATTTAAGTATAAGTAATAAAATTTTGTGTGGAATAGAAATTAATTAAATAAGTAAAAGGGTCTATTAATGAGATTTTAGATTGACAGATTCACTTATTGTTAATTGTCGTTTAACCAATTGATATGTGGATTAATGTAGTTAGCCTCTATTTCGGGCTCCTTGGCATGATCATTAGAGTTCGGGTTTGTAAGTTGTGTCAAACTCACGTTGAGAAATTAAGACTTGCTTAATTTTGATTGGTAACCCATAAATATTCAAAAAAGCTTCTACTTGAAAAGAAGTTGACAAATATTTAATTTTGAATGAAAAATCTCACATTAAGTAGAAATGAGCTAAACAAAGAACATATAAATAAAATGATTTATTAACCCAAAAGCTTTGGGTTTATAAATTTATATTATTTTGGGCTTCCCTTGGTATGATGGTTGGTATTTGAGTTGTAGATTGTGTCAAACCCATTTTGTGGAACCAAACTTGCCAATTCTTGATTGTTAACCCTATGGATAGTGAAAAAAGCTTCTGTTTGAGAGGGAGTGGACAAATATTAAATTGTGAGTAATAAAGTCTTGCATTGGGTAGGAATGAACTAAGGAAGGAAGTGAAATGACTTATTAACCTAATGCTTTACAACTTTGGGATAAAATATGATGTCAAATTCACTTGCTACGGAATATAACTTAAGCCCATTGATATATGGATGATATCTCCGTTATTTCTAACTTCCCTAATCGCGTGATACTTTTTTCCTTTAGAATCACAAGAATGAATCAATGAATGAATGATGAAGTTGATAAATCATTCATAATTTTCAATAAACAATAACAATTTATTGAGGATTAATAATTAATTAGTGAATATATTTCAATAAATTACAATTGTCACACTCTAAATCTTGATTCTATTTATATCTAAGAATTCTGATTTATTAGATATTTGAGCTGTTAGATTCTAGCAAAACAATGATTAAGAGGTGTAAGACTTTTTATTCTTACATTGGTATAAGAATATCATGTTCTATATACAGTGGTGGACCTAGAAAGTTTTATTTATGTCTGCATACTAAAGGGTAGGGAGGGGTTCTTGAAAAAAAATTAATGAAAGTTTTAAATGTACTAAAAAACAAAAGAATATAAACAAGAAAATAAAAGAAAAGAAAACAACAAAATTTTAATATAAAACAAATTTTTTCAATATACAAAGAAGAAGAGAAAATATAAATAAGAAAAATAACTTCAACTTACAAAAAATATAAACAAATTTTTTTTATGAAAGTTTTAATTGTATTAAAAAACAAAAGAATATAAACAAGAAAAGAAAAGAAAACTTCAACTTACAAAATATATTAGGGAAAAAATTATCTAATGTTATTTTAGACAATTTTGTCTAAAGCTCACCGAAATGACGTATGGAGTTGAATAATTAAAAAATTAGAACGAAAAGACTATTATAACCCTGAAAAAAAAATTAAAATTACAAATACACTATGATTTTCGTCCTAAAATGACGTCGTTTCGGTGAACATTAGACAAAGTTGTCTATAGTAATTTTAGAATGTCTACCCAAAAAAAATAAAGAAAAAGTATTTCTCTCGTCACTGAAGATAAAGTTATCTCCAGTGAGTTTAAAACAACGCCGTTTTGGGTTATAAGATTAAAAATTATAATAATAAAGACTAATATAATCATGCAATATATTAGAATAATAAAAATACCATAATTTTCGTCCCAAAATGACGTCATTTTGGGCTCACCAGAGATAACTTAGCTCCATTGACTGGAGAAATCCTTTACCCAAAAAATAAAGTAAATTAGAAAAAACAAACCCAATATATTAACAATAAAAGAAAATAAAACAAGGAAGTTTTAATACAAACAATGGGGAAGGACCCGTTTACAAATTTTTTTTACAATTTTTGGCAAATTACACTATGTACTCCCAGAAGTATATAGTGTAACCTAGTGTACTTTCGGGAGTACATAGTGTAATTTGTAAGAGTTTATAAATAAAAAGTTTGTGAATATAACCCTCTCCTACAAACAAAAGTTTTTTTTAATACAAACAAGAAAACAAAACAAAACTTCAACTTACAAAAAATATAAGCAATTTTTTTTTAATGACAGTTTTAAATAATTAAAAAATAAAAGAATATAAACAAGAAAAGAAAAAAAATTAACTTACAAAATATATTAAAAAAAAAGAAAAAAAAAAGAAAAAAAAAGAAAATTTTAATACAAACAAGAAAAGAAAACCTCAACTTATAAAAAAATATAAATAATTTTTTTAATTAAAGTTTTAAATGCATTAAAAATAAAAGAATAAAACAAGAAAATAAAAGAAAACTTCAAGTTACAAAATATATTAACAAGAAAAGAAAAGGAAACAACAAAATTTTAATACAAACATTTTTTTAATACAAACAAGAAATGAAAAGAAAAATTCAACTTATAAAAAATATAAACAATTCTTTTTATTAAAAGTTTCGAATGTATTAAAAAACAAAAGAATATAAACAAGAAAAGAAAATTTCAACTTCAATTTTGTTTTTCTGAGTAAAGTACCTTTTGGGTCTTTAATAAAAGTCATGTGACCCACTTTAATCCCTTAAAAAAAATTGACTTGTGATCCCTCTGAATTTCAAAATAGACCCATGTTAGTCCTTTTAAGGGACTAATGTGGGTCTTCTTTGAATTTCAGATGGAGCACAATTTTGACTAATTGAGTTAATTTTGTAAATCATAGGGACCACAAGTCAACTTTCTTAAGTGATTAAATTGGGCCCCGTGATTTTTGTTTAGGACGTAAAAGGTACTTTACTCTCTTTTTTCTTCCCAAAAATTTGTGTTTGCACATAGTTGCACAAATATAGGTTCGCCGATATATATATAGGTAGGATCCTTTGACACCAGTATCAAATTTGAAGTTCGACACCAGTATCAAATTTGAAGTTTGACATCTCATCTGAGAGCCGTTAGATCAAAAAAATCAACGACTCTGATTTGTAAACATGTGATACCATTGATCTTTTTTTATCTAACAGCTCTCAGATAAGGTGTCGAATTTCAAATTTGACACTGGTGTCAAAGGATCCTACCTCATAGATATATATATATATATATCTCATACACATGCATAAAAGTGTATGAGACTCATATTTTCTTTTTCTCTCTTCTTTTCAAAAGGGTCCACATGAGTCCCACACACTTTTATGTGTGTCTTGAAAATAATTTTATCTCTTACAACATGAGAAACATCAAACCATATATATATATAACCAACAACGGAGAAGGATCTTTTGCGGTGTAAAAATAAAAAATTTTACTGATCATCTCAACCATTAAAATATATTCAATAACTAATTAAATCCCTAATAAATCATAATTGACAGATACACAAAGACCAACAGTTAACATATAGAGTAAGATTTTTTATTCTTATACCGAGGTCATAAAATCTTTATATATGTGTGTGTATTTAGATTAGACAAGATCAATTTACACCAGTGTAAGAATAATAAGATTTACATTCAATCTTAGTCGTTGATTTGCGTGTATCATACATTTATAATTTATTAAGTTATACTAATTAATAAATTTTTAATAAATTATCATCAAATATATAAAAATCAACCGTTAAAATTTATGTAAAATTTATTATTCTTATGTTATGTCAGTGTAAAAAAATCATGTTGCTCTCGGCTTCTCTCTATATATAACAGCTCCCTCCTGCACATGTGACAATTATGATTAAAAAGCTTTAATCATATATATTAAGGAAAAACTACTCTTATGCTACATGTGATAATTTTCTCTCCTACACATCCTTCGATAACTGTGCCATCTTTTTCTTTTCTTTTCTTTTTATTTTTCAGATGGTGGAGCCCACAAATTTATCTCTATGACATGAGATATCTTATCTTCTTTAACACGAGATTAATAAAACTCATATATTAAACTTTAAGAATACATTAAGGGCATGTTTGGTGCATAGTATAGGATAATGTCTGATAGTATAAGACCTGACAGTATAAGACCTGATTATATAAGACCTGATTAAATTTGAATACTATCCAGCGTTTGGTATGATATTGTATAAGATAATATCCTCCAAAATTTTAAAAATTAATATATTAAAAAAATTTATTTTAATATATAAATATTGAAATGATATATTAGTTCTTGGGAATTGTACTTGTAAGCAATATTAATACATCAACCCCTTATCAGGCCTAATCCACCACTCTTATGCCAGATTAAGTTATACATCATTTTGATGTATAAATGGGTCCTGCTGTATAAGCTTATACTATACGATGGTCATACCAAATAACTAAAAATGTCATAACGTATAGTATAAGCTTATACTATCAGGCCTTATATATCACATCAAACAAACCCCGACAGAAGAGCATGAGCCCATGACCTATTTTATGTCATTGAGATTGGTACAACATATTAAACTTTTTTTATTTTTATTTTATCATATCATATTTTAAATGAACTGGTATATTACAATTATTAGAATGCAAAAGCCAAAATGCAGCAGAAACGAAGATGTAGCGAGGGGCAGAGGGCATTCTCTTTGGCGTTGCTTTGCATAATATTAATGACGCAGCTTATTTTCACACGAATAGTGTAACCATTATCAATGGCTCAAGAATATATTATTCCAGATCAGATCTATTCCAATTAAAACAAAAAAAAAAATAACTTCTATAATAAGGGACACTCTGCAAACATGATATGCACATACAGAGCTATAGCATTAGTCTCACAATGGCTTCTTCTGCCACCCATTTCTCCCTCATTTCAATAGCCCTTCTCTTATTTTTCTGCATATCACAATCACATGGCAAAACCGAACTCCGTCCATTTATCTTACCCATTGAGAAAGATACAGAAACCAATCTGTTTTATACTTCAGTTGGCATAGGAACTCCACGACATGACATGAATCTAGTCATTGATCTTGGAGAACTATTCCTATGGTATGATTGCAACAATCACTACGATTCTTCAACTTACCATCCTCTCCCTTGTGATTCCAAAAGTTGCCCCAAATTTGCTCCATGCCATAGCTGCAACCTCCATCCTAAACCAGGTTGCACAAATGATACATGTGGTGTCTTTTTCATCAACCCCTATGGTGACTCTCTTTTTGAAGGTGACTTTGGTAAGGATGTGTTGTTCATATCTCATACCACAGTGTCTGGCCTACTTTCTGCGTGCATCAATTTAGACGCATTTCGTTCACGTTCACCTCTAGCTGGCTTACCCAAATCTACTAAAGGGATATTAGGCCTCTCAAGGTCACAACTTGCATTACCAACGCAACTCTCTTCATCTCTTAAGCTTCCTCGCAAGTTTGCTCTTTGCTTACCATCTTCAAACAAAAAAGGACTCGGCAAACTCTTCCTTGGTGGGGCACCCCATTCTATTCTTCATCAAAATGCTTCCAAGTTTCTGCTCACAACCCCTTTGGTTGTCAACCCCGTTAGCACTGCTCCATTCTCCTTAGCTCAAGGTGATCCCTCTTACGAATACTTCATAGTAGTGAAATCAATCAAGGTTGGCGGTGAAGTTCTCAACTTTAACTCTTCCCTTCTTTCCATTGACAACAAGGGAAATGGTGGAACCAAAATTAGTACCATCGATGCTTCCACTTTTCTACATAGTTCCATATACAAACCACTTGTTAGAGATTTTGTCAAGAAGGCTGCGGATAGAAAAATAAAGAAAGTGGCATCAGTGGCACCATTTGAAGCATGTTTCGATTTCAACACCATTGGTAGGACTGTTACTGGATTGGATGTGCCAACTATTGATTTGGTGTTAGAGGGGGGAGTGCAGTGGACAATTTATGGTGGCAATTCAATGGTATTGGTAAAGAAAAACGTAGCATGCCTCGGATTTGTGGATGGAGGAAAAGATCCAAGGACATCATTTATTATTGGTGGGCATATGTTAGAGGATAACCTTCTGGAGTTTGATTTAGTTTCCTCAAAACTAGGCTTCAGTTCCTCCCTCCTCCTTCATAATGCAAGATGTTCAAGTCTAGAAGCTAATTTCTTTCCCTTTTAACTGGTTGTGATGATGACTTTAACTTTTATCCTTTCACTTCTCTTTCCGTCTCAAGTTAATAAAGGTTTATGTGTTGTTGAGTGAAAATTAATGAAGTACATATTCTTTTAAATTACTTCAGAATTTGAGCAGATGTGTTCTGAGCGTTCGTATAATCATTACAGAGTTGTAATGAGGATTTTTATTTTTATTTTTATTCAAGTAGTTCTGTCATCTGTGCAAAGTATTTTGAGTTATTTCTTTCCTGGTTGTCTAGTACATATATCGACTTATCATTAGTCTTGTAAGTCTTTTTTAAATTTTTTTTTTTTAGATATTTCAATCAGCTTATCATTCTGCGACTAATTCAATTTGGAGCAGGTTTCGAGATTAAGGCTTTAAATCTCTCTAAAATATGGTACTAGGGAGGATCGAACACATACTCTCACACTCATCTACTTAACTCCCTAGCAGCAACTAAGTTAATGTCATTTGATTTTTTTTTTTTACTTTTTTATATAATTATTTGATTAGTTGAATTTTTTATTCATTCATTTCAGAGTCCTTATCAGCTATGATGCACGAACACGAACACGGGACACGGAACACGACACGACACATCGACACATTAATTCTAAAAAATGTCATATTTCGACACGTTGGGACACGTTTTGATATTAAATAAAATTTTTAACATATATAATATAATTTATATTTAATACATATGAGAGTCCATAATAAGTCATATAACCAATCAAATATTTAAATTTCATAACATAAATATAAATATAAATAATTTTTCGTACTTTGTTAATTTTTCATGTCAAATTTCATAACAGAAAAAAATTAATTTATAAATTATTTCTTTTATATTTAGTTAACAAAATAAAATTAAAATAAAAAAATGTGTCCGAGCATATCTGAGCATTGACTGCGTGTTGGAAAAAGTTGACCGCGTGTCGAAAAAACGTGTCGGAGAGTTGACCGCGTATCGGAGCGTGTCCGTGTCAGATACGCAAATTTTTCTTCAACGAGCGTGTCCGTGCTTTGAAGCTTATCAACATTAAACGCCTCTCCATATCTTGAAACCTTATAAGATCTTTCTCTCGCGAAAGACTGTTACGTTGCTCCATGATAAGTGTCAAAGACACTATGCTTTTAATATCAAATATAGTGTAAATAGTAAATAATATAATTAAAAATATAGTGTTAATTAATAAAATCTTAAAGTTTAGTAAAATGCCAATAAATAGATAAGATTCTAATCTTTTTATTGTTTCAGGTTGTTTCATACTAGGAATAACAAATTACTAACCTGATGAGGATGGGAAAGAAATTGGCACCGATGAAAATATAAAAGAAAAATCAAAAAATAAAGATTTGAAAAAGATTCGATCACGCTCACTATCTTGCTCGCTTTAGCGAGCAAGTAAGCGAGGAGGGGAAAATTGCTCGTTGAGTAGCTCGTTTCAGCGAGCTGGCCCAGAAATAAAGGCCCAGTTTTAAGCCTTTAAATAGAACGCGAAGAAGGCCGAGAAGAAGGAATTCAGAAGAGGAGGCAGATGAGCACATTCAGAAGGCAGAGGAGCGGAGGAACGATCAAAGCTTCACCATGGAGACCGGGTTTTATTTTCCTTTTATGAATTTTAGTTTCTTTTCATCTATTGTTCTTGTTTTTCTGACTATGTCATGCTAATTTTCTTTAAGTAGTTAGGGCGAGACAGAACCAATGGGTTCTTGAACGCTATTTGCCTTTCTTATAATTTATATTCATGATTTAAAGTTATACAATCAATCTGTTTCTTATTGATTAGCTTTATTTATGAACTGATCACTCGTAGATAAACATATGAGTCGTGCATGACAATAGGGATGTTGGTGTATCGATTCCGATTGATTGATTGCTGGAATTTGTATGATCTAGGGATAGACTTATGAATTCTATAACTAAATGTTCTTGCGTTAATGCTTGCTTTATGAAAAAGTACTAAGGGATTAGGCTTTTGAGTGGAGTAAAAGATTGGATTACCAAGGGATTAGGATTTAATCGAATATAGAAAAAACTGTTAATAACTGGATCTTGAATGTAATTATAAGAATAGGTAGACTAGTTGGGAAAACATTGGGGAAATTGAGTCCTAGCTACGACTTTTATAAAAACTTAAAACCAATTTTCTAACATTATTATTTCTGAATTTAATTTCTTAAAAATTGAAAACTAAAAATAAGTAGTTTAAAAATTCTGTTTTAATTAAACTCAAACCAACCTTTCATGATCGATCCAACTTTAATTAAATAGATAAATTAGTGATTGGTCATCAGTCCTCGTGGGATCGACAACTTATTCTTATCACTTTATTACTTGTATGACCGGTGCACTTGCCGAAGTCGCAACACTCCATCTCTTGAAACCTCCTAAGATCTTCTTGTCACTAAAGTTTGTTACGTTGCTCCATCTCATCCATCTGCCTTAGAATTGCGGTAAATGCGGTCTGTGCAAGGTGGGTGTCTGGATTTGCAGCAAGCGCAACACGGGAAGCTACATCTGCAGGCTGAGGTTAAGGAGCAACAATTTGGTTCTGATGATGTGGAGCAGATGTAGGTAGGGTTGGCTCGTAACCCGCCAAAAATGAGCCGGGTTGGGTTTGCCAAAACGAGCTGCCAACCCGAGCCAACCCAGCTCGTTTCAACCCGTGAAAAAATGAGCCAACCCGCGGGTTAAACGAGGCAGCTCGCGGGTTGAGTTTGTTTTTTTTTTTATAAAAAAATACAAAATATAATATACAAAAATGGACAAAACTCACACATGTTGTCATCATTTTTCTTCCTTCTCTAAACCTAAGTCCCTAATCTTCTCACATCCTTGCCATTTTTATATTGTTAGGCTGTGCTAGCTCTATTTGGTTCAAATATCTTACTCACTTGGTAGCAACTGGTTCTGATTGTTTCTTGATATTGATGCAAATTTGTTGTGAAGAAAATTCAAAACTAAAATATTTTGCTTTTATTTCTCATTTTGTAACCTTTTGTTTAAGCTAATGGAAGCCACATAGCTGGTGCATTAATACTACATGGTCATTTAAATAGGCTGAAAATGAGCAAACCCACGAGTAATTTTTTAGCCAACCCACGAGCCAATTTTCGAGCCAACTCGCAAGCTATTTTTTCAAGCTAACCCACAAGCCATATTTTTGAGCCAACCCGTGAGCCAACCCTAACCCGACTCGGGTCGGGTTGGGTTGGGTTTTCTGGCTCGTTTTTTTTTCGAGTCAACCCTAACCCGGCTCATTTTTTTCGGGTTGAATGCGGGTTGGGTCGGATCGGGTCGGGCCGGGTTGGCCCGTTTTTCCAACCCTAGGTGTAGGAGATGTGTCTGAGACCTCCTCACTCACATGAACAACATCATAATCAATCTCGTTCTCAGATTGATTTTGTGGTTGATTTATCTCCTCCACAACAGGATTCAATGATAGATTCAGATGTGGCAGCAATTGACCGCTACTCCTAGTACGAACTGCCATTCTTGCTTGTGGTCGTGGGAGTAACAGTTTAATCGTTCCCCGCAGACGGCGCCAATGTTCTGTCCTCAAAACAGAGATGTCTACCCCAATGGAGTAGTAAATTGCTCTTGGATCTAGGTGTTCTCTCGAAGGTATGTATGAGTTAGATATCCTTAAGTTTAGCATATCACTGTGCACAAAGAATAAAGAACAACTTTCGTCAAATGGGTGGTGTGTGTGTGCACAGTGACAACATAACAGTAAGAGAGAGATAATAATGATACTTATAAGCTTTACCTCCTATTTATAGAGTTTATCTGCGGGATTGTATTCTGGACCTTCTATGCCTCTTCCAGCAGCTCAAGCCCATGTTTAATGCTATCGTATTATGATTGATATATTTTGATATTCTCCTTTAATTATATCAGATTTATATTTGGATTGACTCTTGTAGTACTTGGTGATAAATGGGCATAATATATGCTTCCATAACATGACCTTTGAATCTTTTTTTAAGTTTCTGTAATGTGTATTAGAATGTAGAGAAATGTCCAAATATCAAGGAGTGTCAAACATCACAAATTAATTTTTTTTTTTGGATTACATCCGGGTATCCTCACAGCCGATAGTCATGAGACTAATCCCTTATCTGGGTCAACGCATAAAGTGGTAAAGAACTGATCACGAAATGCTTGACACTTGTGTATCATATTAATTTTTTTGAAATATCGGTGTATGATATATTAAGAATACAGCACAGTACCCGACAAAAGTTCCCTCCATACAATGTTAAAGTCATAGCTAAAGCACGTGATAACCATTAATATACATATAAATAGCCACTTGTGTAATTTATCAATTTTTTATAAAATTAGAAATGACTAGAACCGGTAGTAAGACAAGACAGTCAACCTGTAAGTCTTTTTTTAACTATGAATTTTTTTATTCATTTGTTAAACGAGCCAAGAATATGTATAAGTTTATTAAGACAATAATAACAAGAATAATGTGTAGCACCAGCTATTTAATATTCAAAAGCTTTATAGATATTCGTGCTGCTCCTTAAATGGCACATATAACGAGGGTCTTTTTTTTTTTCTTAAATAAAACCTACTTGCCTAATTAATCTCTTGACAAAATTATAAAAAATAGGTATTTAACATTTTAAATAACATAACTTATGTCATTTCATTCTTATAAAAGATGAGATTCACATCTTTATATTTTTTTTGTTCATTCTCTCTCTTTTATTTATCTCTTTCTCTCACTTTAAATGACACAATTTTATATCTTTTAAAATACTACATACTCTTTTCAAATTATAAAAGAACCACAAAGTACAGACCTTTACCCTTTTAGGGCCTGTTTGAAGCACTTGATAAAGAAGATATGATATGATAACTTATCATATCCTACTTTTATCTCTTGTTTGGTGGGTCAATAGGATATGATTAGCTTATCATATTGTCTCATTTTATCCTATTCAATACATGATTTCTTATCCTATGGGGAGAGCTAGGTTAGGATTCAACAGGATATGATACCAATATTGGATACTCAATATATCTCTAGGCTACCCAATATATTCTCACGCTACCCAATATATTTGTATTTATTGTATTATATTTTTTTTTTCTTTCTCCTTCTACATAACCTTATCAGATTGCTAATCAGGTACTCATCAAACACAGAATATGATATAGGCTTATCAGCCTCATATCATATCCTACCCTTATCAGCTGTCCACCAAACGAGCCCTTAGCATCACAAAAAGGAGTCAGCAGCCACTTTTTATTTTTTAACACATAATTTATTATATAATTATTTACATTCATCATTAGGTTAACCCTGACTACTTCTCTACATGTGAAAATCACGTGCTTTACAAATTTTCGTGTTCCATTAAACTTTGGATTTAAGGTTTTTTCTTTACATTCATATAAAAATGAGTGAATTCTATTAATATCTTCTCGCTCTTTTAATTATAATGAAACTCACTCACTTTAATATGAATATAACAGAAAAGGTTTTTCTATTTTAAAAATAGAAATATTAATAAAATGGCAGATGTAACGAGTATTTAATAATAAAAAATACCCGCCTATCTAATTTATCTTTTGACAAAATTAAAAATGAATTCAATTATTGTTGGGAATTTTAGTATAATTAACATTTTTTGTATGGAATAGAAATTAATTAAGCAAAGGACATGTAGTTAAAATGATATATTAACCAGACTTTAGATTGAGATTTATTCTCATGTTCACTTATTGTGAATTGTCACTTGGCCAATTAATGTGTGTATTAAAATTAACTTCTATTTTGGGCTTCCCTAGCATAATAATTAGAGTTCGGGTTTGTAAGTAGTGTCAAACTCATGTTCTAGAATGAAGATTTGCTCATTCTTAATTGGTAACTCATGAATATTCATAGAAGCATTCCTTGAAAGGCAGACGACAAATAATTAATTTTAATGATAAAATCTGGCATTAGAAAGGAATGAGGTAAAGAATAAACATATAAAAGAAAAGAATAGTGACCAAAATGCCATTGTTCCTTATCTTTTTTACCTAAATGCCACGCCAACATTGTTATTTCCCAATATGCCACATGGACAAGTTCGCTGGGCACTGTAACGAACTTTGTTTGCAGATGTGTCACGTTCTTAGTGGACAGCAAGTTCGCTACCTGTAGTAGCGAACTTGGCTGCAATAAATACTAACAGCTTGTACAAGTTCGCTGCAACCTAGAGCGAACTAGGTGTACATAGTTCGCTGAGGTTGCAAGCGAGCTATGTTTGGGAAGCTAGACGACAAAAAAATGGCGGTGGCAAACGATCAGCTGTTACTGTATAGAGGATTGAAGAAAGCGAAGAAAGATAGAGGTTGCACAGCCAAAGACCGCATCCGCAAAATGCCTCCTTGTGCCGCTGGGAAACGCAGCTCCATATACCATGGTGTCACCAGGTATACTTCAGAAAACTGATTAAGAGTTGGTTGAAATGCTTATTGGATTTGACATCTTCGAGATTTTTCAACTGCATTTCTACTCATTGATCTATTATTTTTTTCGCGAATTATGAATTGTTTATTAGGCATAGATGGACTGGTCGTTATGAAGCGCATCTTTGGGATAAAAGTACATGGAACCAAAACCAGAATAAGAAAGGAAAGCAATGTCTCTTTCTAAACGTGTGCCTATATTGTATAGGAAGATATTGTTGAACACATTTCAGGTTCAAATTTATGTAATCCTGAAATTACTTACTTTCTCTCTTCGTTTTTTATGTTGTGCGCGAATTTATTAACGTTTATCCCAAAGATGCGCTTAATAAAGAGACATTGGTTTCCTTTCTTATTCTGGTTTTGGTTCCATGTACTTTTATCCCAAAGATGCGCTTCATAACGACCAGTCCATCTATCCCTAATAAACAATTCATAATTCGCGAAAAAAATAATAGATCAATGAGTAGAAATGCAGTTGAAAAATCTCGAAGATGTCAAATCCAATAAGCATTTCAACTAACTTTTAATCAGTTTTCTGAAGTGTACCTGGTGACACCATGGTATATGGAGCTGCGTTTCCCGGCGGCACAAGGAGGCATTTTGCGGATGCGGTCTTTGGCTGTGCAAATTCTATCTTTCTTCGCTTTCTTCAATCCTCTGTACAGTAACAACTGATCGTTTGCCACCGCCAATTTTTTGTCGTCTAGCTTCCCAAACATAGTTCACTTGCAACCTCAGCGAACTATGTACACCTAGTTCGCTCTAGGTTGCAGCGAACTTGTACAAGTTGTCAGCATTTATTGCAGCCAAGTTCGCTACTACAGGTAGCGAACTTGTTGTCCACTAGGAATGTGACACATAAGCAAACAGAGTTCACTACAGTGCCCAGCGAACTTGTCCATGTGGCATATTGGGAAATAACACTATTGGCGTGACATTTAGGTAAAACAGATAGGGAACATTGCCATTTTGGTCACTGTTCCTAAAAGAAATGACTCATTAACGTGATGCCTCACAGCTTTGGGCTAAGATTATTTTGGGGTCCCCTTCTTATGATTATCGGTATTCAAGTTTGTGGGCTGTGTCCAGTGGCGGATCCAGGAAGTTAATGAAGGGTGGGCACTGTTCAAGTACATATAGATCTGGGTCTGGTCTGGAACACGACTTGCGAGCAGGTGCCGGCTGGCATGGAGAAAGAAACAAATGTTCCAACTTCTAATAACGAAGATAAGTACATATAGATCTAGGTCTGGTCTGGAACGCGACTTGCGAGCAGATGCCGGCTGGCATGGAGAAAGAAACAAATGTTCCAACTTCTAATAACGGAGATTGAGGTTTGAGAGGAGATGAATCAGTATGTAGATGCAAATGAGCTCTCTGCTGTTACTGTTAGGTTTGGATAATGAAGGTGGAGGAGGAAAAAAAAAACTTACGAGAAAATAAAATAGAAGGAGAAAAATTAAAGGTAGGATATCGTAACAATCAATTAGGGTTACCACCAATGTTACTACCAATCGATTTCACCGTTAGATCGATTATGTGGATCTAACGATTATATTTATTTTCATCTTGTATGGTTATGATCCCCATATTTAATGTAAAATCATTAAATATGGAAAATCATAATCATACAAAGGTGAAAATAAATATAAAGTATTAAATATGGGGAATCATAATCATACAAAGATAGAAATAAATATAACCGTTGGATCAACATAATCGATCTAATGGTGAAATTAATTGGTAGTAATATTGGTGGTAACACTATTTGGTTGTTATAATATCCTACCCCAAAATTAAATTAGGAAAATTTGAATTTTAAGAGAAAAATATTTTTATATTTTTGCATCAAATTTTAAGGGTGGGCACTTGCCCCTTTTCTCTAACACTTGGATCCGCCTTTGGCTGTGTCAAACCCATTTTGTGGAATCAAACTTGTCTATTTTTAACTGGTAATCCTATAGATAATCAAATAAGTTTCCGTGTGAGAGGGAGAGGACATATATTCAATTGTGAGTAATAAAGTCTTGCATTTGGGAGAAATAAACTAAACAATATATATGAGATTAATGTTTCTTATGTTGTAGGAAATAATTATATCTCGTACACATTCGTATTTTATCTCTCTCTCTTTTATTCACGTGTGTGAAGCCCATGTGAATAGAAGAAAGAGAAAAAGAAAACTTGGATCTCACATACTTTTATGTGTGTGTAAGAAACAAGATTATTTCCTACAATATGAGAAACATTAATATATATATATATATATATATATATATGGGGTTTACATTTCTGCAGCTGTTGTACATGCAGCAATCAAATACTTGCCATATATATACTTGAAAGCATTAAATGCGGGGAATCATAACCATATAAAGGACAAAAGCATTAAATGTGGGGAATCATAACCATACACCTGTCGTTGCTATACGTAAAGCAACTGCAGAAATGATTTTACCTATATATATAAGAATATTATACTTACAAATTTTTTGTTTACAAATTTTTCTATGTATTCCGGGGATTAAAAAAAATAGAGGAATGTACCTCCCGAAATACATAGACAAATTTATAAATAAATTTTTTTGTAAATATAAATGCCCTATATATAAACATAAGAAACAAAAACACAATAAAAGGCAAACTGAATGCAACTTGCTCCATCTCACTTCTAAGGCAAACTTCATTAATAAAAGGCAACACCATAGGAGAAGGGATCCTTAACGATTGCTCTCCCTCTTCCCCGTTTATCCAACAACAGCTCCCCCGTGGACATGTGACAATTATGATTAAAAACCTTTAGTGGTATACATTAAACTTAAAGAATATATTAACAGAAGAGCATGAGCCCATGACCTATTATATGTCATTGAGATTGGTACAATATATTAAACTTTCTTTTTTTATCATATCATATTTCAAATGAACTGGTATATTACAATTAGAATGCAAAAGCCAGCATGCAGCAGAAACGAAGATGTAGATTGTGATGGCTGGGGCGTTCTCTTTGGCGTTGCTTACATATTATTAATGACGCAGCTTATTTTCACACGAAGAGCGTAACCATTATCAATGGCTCAAGAATATATTATTCCAGATCAGATCTATTCCAATTAAAATAAAACAAATAATGTATCAGACTAGGCTTTTCTTCTTATCCCACTTCTATAATAAGGGACACTCTGCAAACATTATTATGCACATACAGAGCTATAGCATTACCCTCACAATGGCTTCTTCTGCCACCCATTTCTCCCTCATTTCAATAGCCCTTCACTTATTTTTCTGCTTATCACAATCACATGGTAAAACCGAACTCCGTCCCTTTATCTTACCCATTGGGAAAGATCAAGAAACCAATTTGTTTTATACTTCAGTTGGCATAGGAACTCCACGACATGACATGAATCTAGTCATTGATCTTGGAGGACTATTCCTATGGTATGATTGCAACAATCACTACGATTCTTCAACTTACCATCCTATCCTTTGTGATTCCAAAAGCTGCCCCGGAAATGCTGGATGCAATAGTTGCAATGGCCATCCTAAACCAGGTTGCACAAATGACACATGTGGTGCCTTTATAACCAACCCCTTTGCTGACTCTATTTTTACCGGTGACCTTGGTGAGGATGTGTTGTTCATGTCTCATACCACAGTGTCTGGTCTACTTTCCGGGTGCACCAATTCAGATGCATTTTCTGGTGACCCTTCACCTTTAAAAGGCTTACCCAAATCTACTAAAGGCATATTAGGCCTCGCAAGGTCACAACTTGCATTACCAACCCAACTCTCATCATCTCTTAAGCTTCCCCGCAAGTTTGCTCTTTGCTTACCATCTTCAAACAAAAACGGACTCGGCAACCTCTTCATTGGTGGGGCACCCAATTCTATTCTTCATCAAAATGCTTCCGAGTTTCTGCTCACAACCCCCTTGATTGTCAACCCCTTTAGCACTGCTCCAATCTTTACTCAAGGTGATCCCTCTTATGAATACTTCATAGTTGTGAAATCAATCAAGGTTGGTGGAGAAGTTCTCAACTTTAAGTCTTCTCTGCTTTCCATTGACAACAAGGGAAATGGTGGAACCAAAATTAGTACCATGAATCCCTTCACTGTTTTACATAGTTCCATATACAAACCCCTTGTTAGAGATTTTGTCAAGAAGGCTGCGGATAGAAAAATGAAGAAAGTGGACGCAGTGGCACCATTTGAAGCATGTTTCGATTTCAGCACCATTGGTAGGATTGTTACTGGATTGGATGTGCCAACTATTGATTTGGTGCTAGAGGGGGGAGTGCAGTGGACAATTTATGGTGGCAATTCAATGGTATTGGTAAAGAAAAACGTAGCATGCCTCGGATTTGTGGATGGAGGTAAAGAACCAAGGACATCAATTGTTATTGGTGGGCATATGTTAGAGGATAACCTTCTGGAGTTTGATTTAGTTTCCTCAAAACTAGGCTTCAGTTCCTCCCTTCTCCTTCATAATGCAAAATGTTCAAGTTCAGAAGCTAATTTCTTTCCCTTTTAACTGGTCATGTGATGATGTGTTTAACTTCAATCCTTTCACTTCTCTTTCGGTCTCAAGTTAATAAAGGTTTATAGTTGTTGAGTGAAAATTAATGAAGTACATGTTCTTTTAAATTACTTCAGAAGTTGAGCAGATGTGTTTTGAACGTTGATAATCATTAAAGACTTGTAGTTTATTTTGTCCTAAGTACTTCTGTCGGTGGTTGAGATATATAGTCCCACGTTGGTCGTATGTCGTATGTGTAACTAATGTGGAGTTTATAAGACCTTGGGCATTCTCGCTCTCTGAGCTAGCTTTTGGGTTGGTGTATCCCAAGGTTCTTTACATAGTATCAGAGTCTCTCCGTCCCCCATTTTCTCTTGTGGCGTTTCTTAGCACAGGTAGGCTGGGTCTGTTGCATTGTCCACTCTTCAAGTCCAATAGACTCTCTTGTGAGGGGGCGTGTTGAGATATATAGTCTCACATTGGTGGTATGTGCAACTAATGTGAAGTTTGTAAGGTCTTGGGCTTCCACCTATTAAGCTAGCTTTTAGAGTGATGTATCCCAAAATTCTTTACCCTGTACAACTATTTTGAGTTTTTTCTTTTCCTGGTTGTCTAATGCATATATCGATTTTTATTTTTATTTTTTTATAAAATTTGAAATGACTACGACCGATAATAACATTAGTCAACTTGTAAGTCTTTTTAAATATTTTTATTAATGATTTGATGAGTTGAATTTTTTATTCATTTTTATAGATATCCGTGCTTCCCATTAAACTCTTAAAAATATTAACATATTAAAAATGGCACATCTAACGAGTTTTTAAAAATACCCACTTGTCTAGTGTCTACCTTATCTCTTCACAAAATTAAAAATTAACTGGAGACCTTTTCTCCTTTGGCACCACCACAAGGAGTCGTCTATATAATGTATAATAGCAGCAGCCACTTCTCTTCAAAAAAAAAAAAAGATATCCATGCTGTGCATTAAACTTTTAAAAACATTACCACAATAAAATGGCACAAATAACTAGTTTTCAAAGAAATACCCACTAATTTTTCTCTTGTAAAACATATATTAGACATTTTGAAATAGAAAGGCATTTTGTCACCATTCTGAATCTATTACTTATTTTTCAAAAATAAAGATAAAATATGGAAATTGAAACACAAATTCATGTACTCATATTACGTAAAAAATATAATAGATTATATATTACCCAATGACAGATCTCTCGTCCACATGTAACAATTATAATTAGAAAAAAGTTTTTTTTCTATTAGAAAAGTTAATTTGTCACCTGAATTCCAAAATTTGCTGTTTTAAAATTTGCTTTTCTTTTGCAATATGAAAATCTCAAAAATAATAATTGAACATCAGGGTGTAGATGTGTAGTGAATAGATCAGGAAGAGGAACAGAGGAGAGACTAGAGAGAAGGACAAGGGAGATTGTGAGCAATTTTCTTTTATACAGCTGCATACGATTGAAACTAATAAACACCATAATTCTCCTAATGTCATACAGGAATTCAAATATTAAAAATAAAAAAAATCAAACTATAGAAAGTTCTGGAATTGGGTTTTGGTTATCTTAGCCCAATGTGTAGTTGTCCAAATACTTGGGCCTTCTGTGCATCGTTTTGGGTCCCCATACTGTTAATGGTGGGTTAGTAGTGGTCTGAGCCACTAAAGGATGTTTGTGGAATCGGAAGATTGGAACTTCGAGATGAGACCCCTTCATCACGTAGAAGAACGAAGAAAAAATGAGAATAGGAACGGAGTGATAATTATTAGGGTTTTTGAGTTAGCATTGGACAGATCCACCTCCCAAAATACATTGCATAGTAATATAAAACTAATTAATAAATATTTAATAATTAATTAAAATACTAATACTTAAAAAAATAGATAACAAAGTAAAATCCATGTAAAACATTACAAAACGGCTCATAGTCAAATAGCACACATTTATTCATTAACATCTTACAATAGTGGTGAAAGTGAAATGCATTCTATTGATATTGATATATGACTGTCTTATTCTCGACAAAACTATATTAAAAAGCTAATCGACTGGCAAACAATGTGCAATACCACAACGAATTTCCTTTTATTAAGTGGTAGACGTGAAGTTGAAGTTAGCACAAGTAGTTTCCCTGAACAATAGGGAAGAGCTGAACCCAAGCCTTGAATTAGTCAAATCAAATTGCAAGAGATTGTCTTCTAGTTGATGGCCACCAATAACAATGGAAGTTGTTGCTTCTACACCTCCATCCACAAACGCAAGACAAGAAACCTCGTTGCTCACTTGTACCATAGAGTTTGCCCCGAAGATCCTCCACAACACATCCTTGCTTTGCAACACAAAGTCAATTGAGGGCACTGCAGGTCCAACCCTTGTGCTCCCCAAGCTCTTAGAATTGAAACATAGCTCAAAGGGCGCAACTGGCTTCACTTTTGGAACATCTGCAAGCTCTTTGGCAAATGCATTAACAAAAGCATGGTAGATAGAGGTTTCCATCACTGTGTAAGGATTTAGGGTGCTAATTTTAGTCCCACCCTCGCCCTCATCACCTATGGATAACAATGATGTGTTCAATGGGATGGGTTTCTCATTGATTCGTATAGCTTTCACTCCAATGAAATATTCTGCACCAAGTCTTGCATGGAAGATAGGCCCTGCTGAGTTATCTGGGTTTTTGATAAGTGGGGTATAGGTAAGAGATTTGGAAACATCAATGCCAGGAAGGAAAACATATGGGCCATCACCAAAGAACAAGACACCACTAGATGTAGTTGAAGAACTCAAGCAAATTGTAAACTTTATGTGGAAGCCAAAAGCAGAGGCAAAAAGGGAAGGCACCGAAATCTCATTCCTTCCAAAACCAGCCATGCCCTTGACTCCACTAGCAAGGCCTTTTAAGAGATCTGTGTGACCGCATGTGAAGAGAAAGTTAGGTATAGTGACCATCTTTCTAGGATTGGATCCATCAGTTGAATGGATTGAAACAACATCTAGTGCAACCTCACCAACTTCATTGATGTGAGTAAGAATGTTATTTGGGAAAAGGCTACATGTATTATAGTTGCATCCTGGCCTAGACAGAAAGCAGTCTCTACAAAATTTGGATCCTGTGATGTTGCATTGGGAAGTGTGGCAGTGGGCAGGGTGGTATGTGGTTGAGACATAACCCTCTTCGCAATCTACCCAAAGGAATTGACCACTTAGATCTAATGTTAGTTTGATAGGCACAAGAGGGGTCCTTTGATGAAGCAGGGTAACATATTGGCATGTCACAGAGTCTCTTGTGACCGGAAGAACAAGTGCCTTGGGATGATAGGAGGTGTTGGCTGTAGAGGGAGAGATGAAGGTTAAGAGAGTATAAAAGAAAAGGAAAATAGAAGCAATGGCCATGTCTATTTTCCAGAAATTGGTAGCATCTGGTTCTGTTGTGTGTGTGAATGGAAGAAGTGCTCTTTATCAGATCCAATGATTCAAGGAATCGTAGGTCAAATAACAGCTATGGTTGGCGATTTGGAATTCCGAATTTTTAATTTCTAAAAGTAAACGCTGACTAAAGTTTCCATGCCCAAGAATCTAGATGGGTACTTTTGTATTTACACTAATAAACATCGATCTCATCCATCACCTCATGTTGTTAACTACAATGTTAAGGGAAGATTCATGAATAGTTATGTACTACACCGTTTATAGAAGAGCGAAAATGATCAAAATGTAACACTCTTCGGAAAAAATTATTTGAATGCCATGGTTTGAATTTTTTTTTTTCAAAATATAATGTCACCTAACTCGATATAATACTTGACGAGTTTGGTGTGCACACATGACAGCAGACTTATGGTCACGTAAGCTGCTGCGAAACATAACGATATTATGTGACAAACAACTTCTGCCACGTGGCCTAAAATGTTAGGTAACGTGGCGTCTTAGGTGGCCAAAATCACTATACAGCCTAACATGTTATGTGTCATTCGTACAGCCACGCAACGCATGTGTGACATGTGACACAATCGAATCAAACCCGCTGCACTGTTCACCGATTTTAGTGGTCCTCACCACTCTAAAACCCATCCCCCTCCCTTTCTTGGGACATTGACCATACTGCCCTTTTCGAATATAATATATTTAAATTTCACGGAGTCGATTTTTTTTTAAACTGCCACAGCGCCTTAGTCGTTGCGGTAGTCAGCTACTATGGACGGGACATGTGTCACTTCTCTGGCTACCACGCAACCCAAAGTTGTTGAGGTAGTCAACTACTTTAGTTTCCAGCCACCGGAGAAGTGAAACGTGTCCCGTCCATATTAGTTGACTACCTCAGCGACTATGGTGGGCAGTTTGAAAAAAAAATTTGACTCCGTGACATTCAGGTATATTATATTAAAAAATGGGGTAGTATGGTCAATGTCCCCCTTTTCTCCCACTCTCTCTTGTCCTCCCTTTTTTTGTGAAAAATCGTTCCTCTTCTCTTTTTTTCTTATTCTCTCACTCGTCCCCCCTCCCCTTTGCACATTATCATTCAGTGTCCATTCTTTTTCCCAAGTTTAATTTTTTTTCACTACAATTTTGTTTACTGTTTTTATTTTAAATTCTGTTATTTTGATTGATAGATACCTTGTACACCAACCGGTTCCCATTGTCTCTCACAGGTTAGTTTAATTTTTTTTTTCACTATAATTTTGTTTTTTGTTTTAAATTTAAAGGATGTTATTTTATATGATAGATGAGGTGATATTTTTATTAGTATAGGAATTAAATCCTAGGATTGAAAATATATTTAGATATTCATTAATTTGCCAGTGTAGAAAATAAACCTTAAGATAGATAACATGATTTATATGTTTGTTGAATGAGTTAATATAAATAAATTCTAGGATAATTTTAATTATTGAATTTTTTATTTTGAAATAAAATGATTTAAGGAAAAATAATATTGGTTTGAATATTTTAGTTTAAAATAAATTATGTTAAAATAATTTAATTCATGACTATTAATTTAATTTACGTGTGTTAATTAATTTAAATTAAAGTAGGAGTGTTACCTAATGTAATTTAATTTAGTTTATGGTAAGTTAAAATATTTGTAACTGTTAAGGAATTTAATTTAATTTAGGACTGTTATGAATTAAATTAAATTTATGTTTGTTAATTATTTTAGTTTAACTCAGTCTATATTAATTTAAATTATTTTAGAACTGTTAATTACTTATTTTTAAGAGTGTTAATTAATTGTATTTAATTTAGTTTATGTTATGTTAAATTTTTTCAACAGTAATAGACTAAAGCAATTAATGAATCATTGTTATCACTTATTTTGAAAAAAAATTGGTGAAAAAAAAAAGACAACAGAAATTAACTGAAGAGAGAAACCAACTCACATTGATGCATGAAATGGGAGGGGGAAGTGGTGTATTTATTAAACTAAAAACGTTGGACTGTTGGGCTAGTTTAGATTTGACACACACGTAGAATGCTATGATACACAACACGTTTGTCATGTGTCAGAAAAAGTTGACACGTAAAATGCTAAGTGAGTTTGACACGTGTTAAAAAAGTTCACACCTAAAACGCCACGCTGCCTAGCGTTTTATGTCACGTGGCAGAAGTTGTCTGTCATGTAATTTCGCTGCACTTGGTTGTTGTCCTTACAGAAGAACCTTTTGTGTTTAAAGAGTATATATTATATCATATAGGCCCATTTTTTTCTTCTATTTTATACTGACTTAATTCCACAAACTTGTGATTTAGTAGTCACGAAAACTCTAATATCATATCATAATAAGCTATCATCTCAGCCTATGATGTACTGATACCGACTCGGGACACGGGACACGACACGACACGACATCCCGACACGTTAATTCTAAAAAATGTCATATTTCGACACGTTGGGACACATTTTGATATGAAATAAAAATTTTAATATATATAATATAAATTATATTTAATACATATAAGATTCCATAATAAGTCATATACCCAATTAAATATTTAAATTTCATAACATAAATATAAAAAAAATAATTTTTCGTACTTTGTTAATTTTTTATGTCAAATTTTATAACAGAAAAAAATTAATTTATAAATTATTTTTTTTAAATTTAGTTAATAAAATAAAATTAAGACTAAAATAAAAAGTGTCGGAGAGTGTCGGAACGTTGACTGCGTGTCAGAAAAAGTTGATTGTATGTCAAAAAACATATCAAAATATGTTAAAGAGTTGACCGCATATCCCAAAATATTAACCGCGTGTCGGACGTATCTGTGTCGGACACGAGTCCGACGCGCAATTTTTTTTAAAAAGCCATGTCTGTGCTTCTGAGATCTCAGCTAACGACTTAAATTATTGAGGGAAGACTAGGAAATAATTTTATATTATATCTCTTATCATACGCCACAACTGTTCTGCGCTAATAAAATTTGAATTTACTGTTAAGCTGAGTGCAGCACACGAAGCAATCAAGTTATGGCGTAAGGATTTATATTTGGATTTGATTTTTTCATGTTGCATGAGAATTTAATTCTTATGTTGTGATTCAACTAGTGATGAGCTTCATATATATATATTTTTTTGGTATACATGAGCTCCATATTTATCAAAAAAAAAAAATTGAACACAAATTAAAGTGTCACAACATGATAATTGAATTCTCATATAACATAAAAAAATATTTTCCCTTTATATTTAGATAAGAAACATGAAATAGATAATGAGCACATTATTGCACTGCAATTTGATACGAGCACATTCTGATTCCCCAACTCAAGTAAGTCGTGGCAGTCACGACTGAAAATTATTCCCCACCCCCACCCAACAGTATGATACAAGTCGTGGGTCTTTGGGGACGACCTCATTTAAATTCTATTTTTAAAAATAACTTAGTTAAAAACATTACATTATAAAAAATTTACCCCTAAACCTTTTTTTTTATGTCTACAACTTGCGCTTTGCACATTTCATTTTATACCACCTTAAAAATTAAGGTAAAACATACTTTATTTCCAATTAATTTGATACTCCTTCAATCTATTTTCTTAATTTTCTTTTTTATGTTACTAAACTCCACTCCTACTCTTAAGTTTTCTCGACCCACGTACATAAATCTCAATGTCTAGCATTACTCGACTAGAAATATAAGAAAATAAAATCCATTCGCAAGTTGCAACGTTTTCCCGTTATCTCCCATTCGTTACTTTGTCGGAACAGTGATCAAAATATCACTGTTCACCAATTTTTTTATCTAAATGTCAAGCGAACAGTGTTATTTTCTAATCTGCTGCGGGGGCAAGTTCGTTATCCAGTATAGCGAACTCGATTTACTAACGTGTCACGTTTCTAGTGGACACCAACTTGATTTTAACCAAGTTCGCCTACATGGTAGGCGATCTTCATTTTTTTTTATTATTATTTTTTTAAAATTTGATACTTGTTATTCATTAAAAATGTGACATCTCAGCAAATCGAGTTCGCTACACAGGGTAGCAAACTTGCCCCCATGGGATATTAAAAAATAACACTATTCGCGTAGCATTTAAGTAAAAAAATTAGTGAATAATAACATTTTGATCGGTGTTCCTAATTTTTCCACGTTTTCCCTCAGTTACGTCCAAGAGAAGAAGATTAGCACCGGCATGGGCAAAATCGTGTGTCCCATGGCACCCTTCAAGAGACGCTAGATATTTTTTTTTTAAAATTATGATTAAAACCTGTACGCAGAAAACAGTAACCTAATTTGGTGACTTTTTGTGATGGGAATTTGGACAGCATAAATAAAGAATCATTTGAGTGTATGACCCACCAACCCAACACCATTAGCAAACACATTTACACACATGCCCTCGTTCTCACCTAATATTTCTAAAGAAAGAGAAGAGAAGATAAGCGCAAGGTGTTATCCAGTCAGCAACCAAAAAGTTTGAGAGTGAACAACAACAGTACAACACAATAAAATAAAGAATCCGAAGAAGCCTTATCCAAACCTCAAACCCAAACCAAATTTCAGCCAAGCCGCGGCGAACCACAGCCGACAGACACCCACCCCTATCAACTACCGTACCAACTACCTCTCTGTTTTTGTTTTCCTCTTCTTCTTCTTTTTTCAGCCATGGCTTCCTTTTCTCTCTTTCTTCTTCTCTGTTTCTCCTCAGTTATGTGCTTTGTTTGCAATAATATCTGTCATGCTCAAAGCTCCTCTTTTGTTCTCCCTGTTACAAAGGATGATGAAACCCTTCAGTATTTGACCACCCTTTCTTATGGCACCCCTTTTGTGCCCACAAAGCTTGTGTTGGATCTTGGGGGTCCACTCCTCTGGGTTGATTGTGCATCCACAAACACCCCTTCATCTTCTCTTCTCGCAATTCCTCACCGTTCAATCCAGTGTCTCACTGCAAAAAGCCATGATGAAACTGAGCCTCAGACATGGCTTTCAAACCCTGTGACAGATCAAGACCAGCCATGTCAGATTCTCGCAGAGAACAGCATCACAGGGAAAAAAGCCATGGAAGGAGAGCTCGTAGAAGACCTTGTGGCACTCAAGTCAACGGAAGAGTCAAAATCAAGCAAGATTGAACCCACACACAAGGTTTTCTTCACTTGTTCACCCACCTTGCTCTTTAATGGCTTAGCAAGTGGTGCTAGAGGCATGCTAGGTCTTGGTAAATCTCGCAGATCTTTCTCATCACAGATTTTCTATTCTTTTAGCACACAGAGAAAAATCACTCTTTGCCTCTCATCTTCTTCTGGGTTTGTCCTATTCGGTAGCATGACCTATGAACCTGAAATCCTTAGATCTCTCACGTTCACACCACTTGTCACCGACCAAAACAAGATACACGCTTCACAGGAATATTTCATCAACGTTAACTCCATCAAAATCGGCGGCAAAAAAGTGTCTTTTAACCAAGATGGAAATGGTGGTACTCAATTGAGCTCGGTTGTGCCTTACACCACTATGCAGAGTTCGATCTATGCTAACTTCGAGAGTGCTTATTTGAAAGCTGCTATGTCTATGAACATGACTAGAGTACCTTCAGTTGCTCCCTTTGGCCTTTGTTTTAGCTCTCATGGCATTGGTAGCTCACAAGTTGGACCAAACGTGCCAGTTATTGAGTTGGTGCTGCAGAGTGAGATGGTTAAATGGAGCATATATGGGAGAAACTCCATGGTGCGTGTAAGCAACGAAGTTGTGTGTTTGGGATTCTTGGATGGAGGTGTGAACCCAAGAAATCCCATTGTGATAGGAGGATATCAATTGGAGGATGTCTTAATGCAGTTTGATTTTGATACTTCCATGTTGGGATTTAGTTCTTCCCTTTTAATGAGGCACACTAGTTGTTCTGGTTTCAGAATTGGTTCAATGCCTGCACAATCACTTTGACCATCACTTTGGTAATAATTGATGAGGCAAACTACATAGCTTTTTTTTCCTTAGATTATGGTGAATTATGAATAGTTTCAGTTTTGTAATCACCTTCCTTTTGGATTTTTTTTTTCTCCCTCGCTATATGTGTATACTACTGCTTATGGCGATGGCATTTTTGTTTCAATGTTTGTGATATTGGAATCTTTGTCCTGTATGAAAAGAAACTTGATCAGTTGATTTCCCCCATTTTTTTCATTTTCTTATTTTTGTCTGTGTAATAAAAAAGGCATCTCATTGAGGAATATTATTGATAGTGGGAAAAGCATATCCCTCATGGAAGGCAAATCAAAGTAAAGATGTGGCACACTACCCAAAAAAGAAAAGAAAAGATTTGGCACATAGAATATATCTTTTTTATTCATTCATGAGATAGGAACAAAATATTACAAAGGAGTAGTATTTCCTACAAAGTCAGGCTCCCGGAACCATTTTCCTTTCGTTTGTAAGTCAATTCAAATAATTTGAGCCCCAGAATATTAGTAAGAAATCAGGTCCACAAATACTGCTATATATGGTCGGTGGTATGATTTTTTATTTTAAACTTATTGTGCTTAATAATTCGAATTTCAATTTAAAATTAATTTGATATAAATTTAATTTTATGTCAGAATAAAAGTTGGTGCATCACTCTTTTGATTAATATTTTCTCTAGAAATTTGGATGCCAAGAGAACGAAGCATGACCCCAAAAAGAGAATCATCCCAAGGCTATTTCAAAGTAGAGACCATACTTTTAAGTGACAATTAAAAAATATACGAAATAATTTTATCTCCTATTTACATATAAAAATGTGTGAGATTGATATATATTTTTTTCTCTTTATTTTTATATACCTCACATGTGGTCCATATACTTTTATGTGTGATAGAATATAAAATTATATCTATAAACATTAATCTCATTATAAAAAGTGTTACAAGGACGACTTATCAACCGGGGCCAGCAACATAGCTGTTTTCCAAAACAACAGGCGATTATGTTTATAGAAGATTCGTAATCTAAAAATGATTCAATTTTAAAGTAGTGTTTGGTTGAAGTTTTTGGTTAAGATCCCCCATCCATGATGTTGTCTTTATTTGGTAGAGGGTTTATAAAAACTTACCCACCAAATCCTTTTGGCCAGCAATTGAAAATCAAATGCAAAAGGAAAAAGTGTATATCATTTTAAAGGATGTAAAGTTATGTCATTTTAAGTGAAAGAAAGAGATAGATAAAAGAGGAGAGAGAGTGAACAGAAAAATATAAAGGTATGGGTCTCACCTCTTTATGAGAGTGAAATAATATAAGTTGTGTCATTTAAAAGGACAAACATTTTTTTCAATGCAAAAATGCACAAAACGCACTGTTGAGGTTTATCAACTTGAATGTGGTATTTGCGTATAACTGGGTAAGTGAGAAAAAGTTGACAAAAATTGTGACAATATTACCCTCTTCTAACCTAATTTGTCTGGTAAAATTTTCGCCAACCAAATATTTTTTTTTTACTTTCCTACCAAATTCATTCTCCTATCATATTTCTAATATTTGCATTTACCTGGTAAAAAAATATCTCCTCTACCAAAAATCCCAAAGGGAAAAAGGTTCCTGTAGTTCAAATATTATTCCCACCATACACACTGCTTCTCTCTTTCACCTCAAAAAGGAAATTTAATAATAAAATGTGACGGCTGAATCCCACATCTCCTTATGTTGGAATTCTCATCCTCACTTGGCAACACTACATTGATATGCCTCCGGCATATATAGTTTTATAAGTTAAAAAGAGCAAGGATTTAATCCACTTTTAAAGAAAAATGCTTAAATTTGTTATAAAGTTGATAAACCATGCTCAATTCTTCTCTCACCAAATTTCTGTGATTTTTGTAGGAAAAAGTATTATAAAAGAACGTGTTTTAAGCACTAGAGAAAGCCGAAGACAGTGCTGTAGTGCTACAAGCGCGAGATCCGCGCTAGTAGCGTGGAAAATTTTTCACAATGCAAAAGTGTCGCACTACACCTTTGTTATTTTCACCGCGCTAGTAGCACGGGAAGCACATGACCAATTTTAAAATAGATCCAATCACAGTCTAAGGAGAATTATATCTCAAAGATTTGATCAAGATTTGGATAGATTTGACATTAAGCTATTAAAAGGGGTTGTAAACCCTGATTGGTCATCTTTGGCAGAGGGAATTGCGAAAAACACAACACAGAGAGAGAGAGATCTTGGAGATTTATGCTGAAAATTAACGCTTAGAGAAACTGAAGACTAAAGATTCCTTCTTTGTCTTCTTCTTCTTTTCCATTCTTTCATAAATTCTTTTTATTTTAATTTGTTAAAGTCAGATATGTATGGCTAATTTTTTTTTGTAGTTGGGATCACAGATCCAATGTGAATCTTGTATATGTTTTAAATTATTTTTATAATTATTTTAATTTAATTAGTTTTATTCTATTTGTGTTAATTTTTTCATACCTTTTTTATAATTGATCGCTCTATTATAGGGTTTTGAGGGTTAGAGTTCACAATAGGAATATTGGGATTTTAATTCGGACAAGGGTAGAATAACAATCTGTGCATGATCTAGACATAGGTTTACATAGATTGCAGACTTTTAAATTCAACTGCTTAATGCTTGATTCAAGAGGAATTACTCGGACACTAGGATTCTAGTTGGGTTAAAGAGTTGAATACACTAAGACATTAGGGTTCAACTATTTAATTGGGAAAGAATGAATTGTCTGAGCTAATGAATTAATTGATTATAAAATATACTTTAGAAGTATAAAGGAAGGTCGGAGGTGAAGTGCATCCTGGCTACAGTTTCGTTATTTCTATTATACATACCTTCTTTTACGCTCTTGATTATTTCTTGAATGTTGTTGATTATTATTGTCTTTAAATTTCAGTCAACAATTACTATCTCAATTAAACTGAGTTTTCCAAATTAAGAGGACTAGTTAGAATAATAATTGATGCATTAATCCTCGAGGGAACGATCTTTCTTATCACTTTATTACTTGGAACGATCGGTATACTTGCCGATTTCGCAACAATTCATCAGGAAATGTCCACAGCATGGTTTCAAAGCTTGGGAGAAAGGAAGAAATTTCTTCCAAGGAATGACACCTAACACAAGAACCTTGGTGAATGCTGCAACTTGAAAAAGGGTATTCTAATATATTATAGAATTGTAAATAATTTGTACAAAGGGTTCTCTATTTATAGAGAATATTTGACCTACTTTTAACCTAATGGGCTTGGCCCAATACAGCAAAGGGCTTGACCCAATACAACAATAAATGACTAAATAAAAACTAAATAATAACTAAATCAATATTATTTACAACACTCCCCCTCAAGCTGAGGAATAGATATTTATCATTCCCAGCTTGCTAGTAAGTTCTTGAAATCTGTCTGAAGGAAGTCCCTTTGTTAATAGATCAGCTAATTGACGCTCAGTGGGAATGTATGGAGTGGTAATCAACCCGCTATCAAGTTTCTCTTTGATGAAATGGCGGTCAACCTCAATATGTTTAGTCCGATCATGTTGAACTGGATTATGAGCTATACAAATAGCGGACTTATTATCACATAGAAGCTTCATAGGTCCCTCACATTTTATTTTGAGATCATCAAGAACAATTTTCAGCCACAGTAACTCACAAATGCCTTGAGCCATAGCTCGAAATTCAGCTTCTGCACTTGATCTGGCAACCACATCTTGTTTCTTACTTCTCCATGTCACCAAGTTACTGCAAAGAAACATGCAATAACCAGTGGTAGAACGACGGTCAGTCACGGATCCAACATAATCAGCATCTGTGTAGACTTCTAAAGATAGATTGCCATCACGTCGGAATAACAATCCTTTACCAGGAGTACCTTTAAGATACTGAAGAATTCTCTCTACTGCCTGCATGTGTTTTTCTTTTGGATCGTGCATAAACTGACTGACAACACTAACAACATAAGCTAGGTCTGGTCTAGTATGGGCCAGATATATCAATTTCCCAACTAGTCGTTGATATTGTCCTTTATCAACTGGAGGACTCTCTTCTTCATAGCCCATCTTGTGATTCTGCTCAATAGGAGTATTAGAGGGTTTACACCCGAGCTTTCCTGCTTCTTTGAGAAGATCAAGAACATATTTCCTCTGGTTGATCCTTTGCTTGAATGAGCTACTTCTATCCCTAGGAAATATCTCAGTTTCCCAAGGTCTTTGATTTCAAACTCAGAGGCAAGCCGTGTTTGCAGAATCTGTCTCTCCACAAAATCATCACCTGTGATAATAATATCATCAACATATACAAGGAGCACAGTAAGCTTCCCATTTTGGGAGTGCCTGAAGAAAAGGGTGTGATCTCCTTGGCTCTGTCTGTATCCTAAGGTCATCATAACCTTAGTAAATCTTCCAAACCAAGCACGAGGTGACTGCTTCAATCCATACAAGGCCTTTTTTAATCTACAAACTTTATTTTCCCCTTCACAGAATCAAAACCAGGCGGGATTTCCATGTAGACTTCTTCTTCTAACTCACCATTGAGGAAAGCATTTTTCACATCAAATTGATTTATATCCCAATTGTAATAGGCAGCAAGGGATAACAAGATTCTCACTGTATTCATCTTTGCAACTGGAGCAAAGGTTTCTTCATAATCAATGCCATAGGTTTGAGTGTAACCTTTGGCCACTAATCGAGCCTTATATCTCTCAAGAGTGCCATCAGAATTATATTTCAGGGCATAAACCCATCTGCACCCTACTGCTTTCTTTCCGTTGGGTCTATCAATAACCTCCCATGTTTTATTTTTCTCCAAAGCATTCATCTTCTCTTGCATGGCTTGAGCCCAATTCCTATCTTTCAAGGCTTCATGTACTGATTTTGGGATTGCAATAGAATCTAGTGCTGAAACAAAGCTTTTGTGCTGCACAGAAAGATTAGCAGAGGAAACAAAATGGGAGATAGGGTATTGAGTACAAGAGGGACAGGAGGAACAAGTTTTCTTGTGACAAGATCTTTTTCCTTTTCTAAGAGCAATAGGTAAGTCATCAGAAGTAGAAGCAATGGGTAAGTCATTAGAGATATCAGAAGAAATAGACAAATCATGAGAGGAAATAATATTAGAATCAGAAACAGGAGATTCAGGAGACTCAGAAGAAATAGGAGATTCAGGACTTACCAGTGGTTCAGACGATTGAGGTTGCTGGTGAGACAGTATGGGTTGTATCTCAGGTGTATTTGAAGGTTCTGACACACCAGGAGCAGACACACTAGGAAGAGAGAAGATTGATCCAGACTCAATGAAGGAAGGGGACGAGTCTTCTGAAGAACTATTCTCCCCCTGACGATGAGGACCCAGGAAATAAGATTCAGATTCTTGAAAGGTGACATCCATAGAAACAAAAAATTTCCGACTTGGTGGATGATAACACTTGTACCCTTTTTTATAAGGGTTATAACCAAGGAAGACACACTTAAGAGCCCTAGGATCCAACTTACTCCGATGTTGTTTACGAACATGGACAAAGGCAACATATCCAAACACTCTTGGTGGAAGGCTCTGCAATATGGGAACAGAAGGAAAGAAGGAAGTCATGGAATGAATAAGACTGATATTGTTAAGGACCTGTGAAGGTAAACGGTTGATCAAAAAAGTTGCAGCTAATACTGCTTCTCCCCAATAAGAACTAGGAACAGATGTCTGAAAAAGTAGTGCTCTAGCAACTTCAAGAAGGTGACGATTTTTCCTTTCAGCAACCCCGTTTTGTTGAGGGGTATCAACACATGTGAGCTCATGAATCATACCTCTGTCTGAAATGAATTGTGACAGGCGTTGATTGACGTACTCAGTACCATTATCAGATCTGAGTCTTTTAATACCCTTACCAAACTGAGTCTCAACCATGTGATGAAACCGAATAAATATCTCTGGTACTTCAGACTTGTCTTTCATCAAGTATATCCATGTTATCCGAGTACAATCGTCAATAAAAGAAACAAACCACCTAGCACCTGAAACACTGTGCACTTTAGAAGGGCCCCAAACATCTGAATGGATAAGAGAAAAAGGTTCTTTGCTTTTAATAGTGCTAGAAGGAAATGACACTCGATGGTGTTTTGCAAATTCACAAACATCACAATGAAAGGTCTCAACCGACTTATTGAGAAACAGAGAGGGGAACATAGACTTCAAAAGACTAAATGGTGGATGCCCGAGACGCTTGTGATGGAGCCAAATCATAGACTCTGCAGTAGAAGGATGACGTGTCATTAATAACTGATTTTTGCTAGCATGGTCTGGAAGGAGATGATACAACCCATCCTGTTCATTAGCAACTCCAATTGTCTTCTTCGTGGTAAGATCCTGAATAAGACAATGAGAAGGAAAAAATGTGATAGAACAATTCAAATCAGTTGTAAGTTTTTGAGTGGAGATAAGATTAGTAGAAAGCTGAGGAACATAAAGAACATTTTTAAGAAACAAGGAAGGTTGAATTTGAATGTTACCAGAACCAATAACTAATTTATGGGATCCATCAGCTACGGATATAGTATGACTACCAACAGTAGGATGATAAGAACAAAACAACTCAGTACGACAAGCCATATGATCAGTTGCACCAGAATCCAAAATCCATGAGGTTTTAAAATCAGTGCAAGAAGCAAGAAGAGATATAGAACGTGCGCTCTTACCAGATAAGATCGAAGAACTATCATGCTCAGCCATTCTTTAACAAAAAAAGTTAACAACCAGCGATAAAATCAACCAAACAGAATATCAAATGACCTCTGATCAGAAAAATAATTACAGATCCAGACAGAAGACAAGAAGACGAGAAGAATGGTGGTGGTCCGGTCCAAAAACACGGCCGCACGCGCCTCCACGCGCCGGAGAAAGGAGCTGCACGTGGGATTCACTCGCCGGGAAAGGGGCGGCGCGTGAGAGCGCGTGGATGGGCTTCGCCGGCTGAGATTTTTCTGGTGTGGTCGTCCGGTGAGCACGCACCTGTCTGTGGGTGGTCGCGGTTGAAAAGTCGCCGGAAAGTGGTCCAAACGGTGAAGACAGATCTGATTGGAGGCGATCAGAGGTGTTTCGGTCGTTTGTGGCGGAGGAACACTGCGTAGAATGATAAATCGGAGGAAAAATAAGGTCAACAATGGTCCCCTTGGTCCAAAAGGTCCCCGAAAAATTTTTCCGGTGGCGGCTAATGGCGGCAAGAGGCAAAGAAATTAGGGTTTTATTAAAAAAGAAGATAATATGTGCGGAAGCAAAGCCCTCAGATCGAGAGCTCTGATACCAACTTGAAAAAGGGTATTCTAATATATTATAGAATTGTAAATAATATGTACAAAGGGTTCTCTATTTATAGAGAATATTTGACCTACTTTTAACCTAATGGGCTTGGCCCAATACAACAAAGGGCTTGGCCCAATACAACAATAAATGACTAAATAAAAACTAAATAATAACTAAATCAATATTATTTACAACACTGCAGCAGCAGGATCTTTGAAGATGAAAACTCCTGAGGAGGCATTGGAGTTGTTGAAATCTCTAGCATCGCAGAAGTTTGATAATGCTCCAGTACCACAAAAAAATACAAATGCTCAAAGGTGGAAGAATCAGTTAAAAGATAGCGTCACCTTTGAAGAAATTTACAGAAGACTAAAACTACAAATTAAAAGCAAGAATGGAAGCCAAAGTGTACCAAGTAGACTAAAACTCCAAGTAATTAGCATCCACCTTTGAAGAAATAATTTCGTCAAACAATGAATCAACTACATCATCACTATATGCAAAGATCTTCTGGGTGACTACCATGGTTGTTAAAACGTAGTATCGAAAAGTAAAAATGGACGTTTCTATGTTTTTTTGACCAAAAACGTGTCGAAACAGAAATAGAAACGAGATTTGGGTTGAAACAGTTGAAACGTAGTGTCAACTCGATAAACTCGGTTGACTCGGCAAATTTACCTACTTAGTTCTAAAAAAAAATAAAGGAATCCCTGTCGTCCTTGCTTTTTCACCCAGTTGCATCGTTCTTCTTCTTCACCCAATTGTAGCGCTGCAGACATCACAATCTATCTTGTAGTGTTGCGTTGTGCTTCTGCTCGTGTTGCTGTGCTTCTGCCTTCAGCTCAATCATAGTCACTGCACTTGTTCACAAGCACCCATCTTGCAGCATCCCCTTCAATGGTCCATTAGTTTTGCCTAATCTTGCACTTAAAAGTATGCCTCTTTCCATCTTTTCGCATTCAATGCTGTTATTACTTATCACTCTCAGCGTGATTTATCTTCCTATATTCTTAGCATTTTTTATTGACATAAATGGTTAGAAAAAAAATTATATTTCATTCTATATACATGTACATGACTATCACCTAATTGAATGCATTTCTTTTTTTACTTCTTGAATGCCTTTCTTAGTTTTTTTTGCTACTAATTATTACAAATTATAATTGATAAAATATACTAAAAACATTGGTTGAAAGTTGTTTTATAAATTATAAACTATAATACCATTCTTTATAATAAAAAACATTGTTAGACTATACTAATTATAAATTATAGTTCCTTTCCATATATTGGTGTGTTTTAGTTATATATATATATATATATATATATATATATATATATTATTTTTTTTGTTCGTAGTAAACTCTTACGTTTCATTTACATTTCACGATTTTACGTTTTGGCTCACTCTTACCATTTCTACGTAGACTCTACATTTTAACAACATTGGTGATGACAGTGTTTACCAGCCATTTATGTTATGGGGTTTTTACATACTTCATTTTCTTTGGTGGACTATATATCCTTAATTTATTGGACTCCCATTTTGTTAAAGACTCTTTTAGACTTCCAAGCACTTTGCTGATTGTTAAGATATATAGTCCCACATTGATTGTGTGGGCAACTAATGTGGTCTTTATAAAGTTTTGGGCACTCCCACCCTTAAAGCTAGTTCGATTCTCACGGCCCCTCACTTTCAAGTGGAATTAAAAATAAAAAGCACAAAAAGGTAAACTAAAAATTGGACCTGTGCAATTCCACGCTTCTAGCCCAAAGGGCTCTTGCGTGAGGGGGCATGTTGAAATATATAGTCCCACATTGATTGTATGAGCCAATTAATGTGAACTTTATAAGGCCTTGGACACTCTCACCCTTAGAGCTAACTTTTGGGGTGGTGTATCCCAAAATTCTATACACTGATTGCATCATTTATTCTAAACTTTTGGTTGCATGGCAGGGTATGTATTTACGACTTCCAGACCTGACTGAAAGCTGTAGTTGGTAATTGGTTAAATTCCACAAGGTGAACTTGAATTTTTTGAGAAGATATGCAAATATTATAACGTTAACTGATTTGACTTTTTGAGTATTATGTGCAGATGGAAACGTAGTTCAAATAGTCATAAAGAGTTTCATTTCTATTGGATTGATTCCAAAAGGCCAATGCAATATCTTCTTAAATCCCTTCTTCTTGTGGCAACGCCGAAAGCCAAAATTGTTACATAACCAAAGTTGCGTACAACCTTTTGAAACATTCAAAATGTTTGCATATAATATGATCTCGGCTAATTTCAAATCAAATTATTCAAAGTGAATTTAAAATTTCATATTTTGGCGTAAGCTCTGTCCTGAATAAAAAAAAAATTGGCATATAACAAAAACATCAATTGGCATATAACAAAAACATCAATTGGCTTACAATACAACATCACTGGGTTTACATAAAGGAAACTTAATTTATTTTACTCGGAAGTGAAAGATAAAAGCTACTTTATTCACCATCACTAATTTAAATAATGCGTCAGAACTCAGAATCTATAACGCTGAAAAGTGGGAACAGCTCCCATTGTGAAGCAAAAGCGAGGAGCTGAAGCTTAATTTGGAGGAAGCAATATCAAACACCAATAGATTTTCCTCCATCTGATGCGAACCAATAACAGTTGAAGCTTTATAAAACGACATTGTTGCTATCGTTCCTCCATCAACAAATGCGAGACATGCTACATTTTTCTTTGCCATTACCATTGAATTTGTTCCATGAATAGTCCATTGTACTCCCCTTTCTAGCACAAGATCAATAGTTGGCCCAGCAAGTCCAGTTACAGAATTGCCAATGGTGCTTCAATCGAAGCATGCCTCAAATGGTGGCACTGATGCCACTCTCTTTAGTACGGCTGAAAGTAGATTAGGCTGGGTCTAGTCTTGTCCCGAAAAATTCAAATTTATGCTAAAGAATTCCAATTTGACCTGGCCCATAGTATAGTACAAGTCTAATTGTTTGCCTGACCTGACTCATTTATAAAAAAACAAATGTCACCTGTTAGCATGTTAATTTTTAACTTTCAAGCAGAATCATGAATCAACTTCACAAAATACTCAAATTCAGTTGTTAAAACAAAAATCATAATTTCAACGTCCCAATAAAACCATGAATCATAACAATAACTTATCACAATCTGCATTTAAATCACTTTCAAAAACAAAATGCTCAAACTAAATAACGTACATTTCATCAGAGATCCAGCAAATCAATCCGTACTATGTAAGTTAAAATAACATCATTGTGAAGCTTGTAGTAGACAAAAACTTCTCATCTTCTTCTCTCCCGTGCAAATACAATTCCAAGGTTACATAAGTTGGCAGACAATTTGTAAATGTAGAAAAAAAAAACAAGATTAAAGAATAGAAAAAAATAAGATTAAGAAACAAAAAAAATCTTTTTATACCTTTTGTTTTTCTTCAAGTCATACTTATTACGTAGGCAATCTTCACCACATATTAAAGCTTGGATGATATTTTCAGCCAAGCTAGAACAATAAGCATAAATAACTCTTCCTCCATCACTAAATGTTGATTCTGATACTACTGTAGAGATTGGTACAGATCTTATGCCCCTCCCAAAGGTGGTATATTGGTGGGGATCAAACCTAGGTCCTTCCACCACCTACTCAGCTCATATGCACCAACTAAGCCATCACTATTTGGTAGTACTATAAATAACATTATTTTATTTTATTTAAAATAAATAATACGATATAGGCCGACCTGTAGACTTATACACTCGGCATGTAAGAAAAAACCTAAAGTCTGCTTCCTAAATAGGTTTTCTTAAAAGTTCAGACCTGTTCTATTTATCTATATATATAGTTGGCCAAACTTGATCTAATATAAGCTAGATTGTAGATTCCTATAGACCGACCTGACCCACTTTCACCTTTACTCTTTGGTCTTCTGCCTTCTTAAGGAAATCTCGAACAAAGGGCTTGTACACATAACTTTGTAATTAAGCGAAACGAGTCCTGGTGCTAATTTTGGTACCCCCGTTACCCTTTGTATCAATGGACAATAGGGAAGGCTTCAAGGGATTGTTTGGTAGGGGGGTAAAAAAAATTTGCCCAAGAAAATAGGATAGAGAAAATTATATGGCCAATTTTAAAATTGTAAGTTCCCAAGATGGCCATCAATCTTAATTGATTTCACGTCAATAAAGTGTTTCGCAGAGGGAACACCTTTTTCATGTAGGATACGGCTCATATTTTGCATGTTGATGACAGTTTTATTGTCGGGGTCAGCAGTCCCAGGTGAGTGGATAGGGGTCCAGAGAGCCGCGTCTAGGCACATAGAGGTTAGGTATTATAGACTTCTGATTTATTGTAATTTTTCTTTTTTTAGTAGTTTGGGCTTAGACCTATGAATAGCTGCTCTTAAAGTTTTCTAATATTATTTATATTCTCTTTGTAAACGAGTGACTTGTAACAAGTGGCGATGAGATGAATATAGTACAGACAAAAATAACCTAATTTGAGTGAACGTATCCTAAATTGGATGAATCAGGATAAATCAGTGTATCAATTTTCTCTCTTTTTATTTGAGATTTGTGTGTGATTGTCATTTCCAACACCTCAAACGTTGGACCTGTGTCAAAGGAATTAACAACCAAAGGAGTGGTTTGGACAAATTCGGACACTTTACGAGGATGTTCCACCGCTCCAATGAGTAAGTTGGTGAATCCTTGGTTGTTTGAAGAAGGTAAACACAGAGAAAACTTGGGAGGAAGCTTCTTTGCCAAAGCAAGCTGAGTTGGCAATGCAAGTTGTGACCTTGCAAGGCCTATAATCTCTTTATTGTTTTTAGGTAACCCTTTTAGAAGTCCAGTATAAGTTGGAGCCAGTACAGCTAGAAAGAAAGCCAGGCACTTGAATTTGAGAAATGAATATGACATCCTCACCAATGTCCCTAGTGAAAATGATTTGAGCTAAGGGGTTGTAATTGTCAGTGCGACATGTGTTATTTGTGCAACCTGGTTTAAAAGGGCCATTGCATCCACCGCATGGATGAATAGTTCTGGGGCATGTTTTCGAGTCACAGCTGATTGGACTATATGATGATGAATTGTAGTGATTGTGATTGCCACAATAGTACCAGAGGTTTTCTCCTGCAAGATCAATGACTAGATCAAAAGTTGTGTCGTGGACTTCCTATGCCAACTGAAGTGTAGAACATGTTGGTTTTTGGATCTTTCTTAATGGGAAGGATAAAGGGGTGTGGTTTTGAATTTAAAGCATTTGATGCTGATAAGATGGATACTGAGAAAAGGACAATCGAGAAGAGAAAGAAATGGATAGCAAAAGAAGAGATAAAGTTTAGGAAGTGTTTGGTAGAAGAATTCTTTTTTTTTTTTTTTCTGAGAATCTTAATTTTTAGAAATATAATAAAAACATTCAATTTATGATAATATTTGAAAATTAAAAATTTAAAAAAATTCGATTGCTCGAAAATTCTGAAAAATACCGTCAAAAATTCAATTTTTCGGAATGCAGAGTTTCCTTTTTACAGTAAGGGGTCACGACATATTTATGACTCGTTGACCATACTTAGTGTTTCGTCAAAAAGGATGACTCAATGGTGTTAGTGCTCAATTTATTGAGTTGGGACTTCGCATGGTATTTTTTTGTTTTTTTGTTCCTTTTTGGATAAACTCCAAATTCATTCCTTAAAAAAGATCAGTAGTATTACAACTTTGAAAAGATTATGACATTTAAATTAGTTTCCATATTAATATTTGTCCATTTGAATTTTATATATATATTGGTAAGTAGGGGCATAAGCCCAAAAAAAGTAAAAAAATTAAGTTGCAACCATATCTGATATCCGAATAAATGCCACAATAAACATCAAACGGTTCCTGTTTAGAACTAAACAAAGCAAACGTAATTTATTCTCCTCAAAATTAAAAGATAGAAGCCACAAGAAATGCATCATAACCTATGACTCTCAAGAGTGGGAGCAACTAGCATTGTGGAGCAAAAGCGAGGAGCTGAAGCTTAATTTGGAGGAACCAAGATCAAACAATAAAAGATTGTCCTCCAACTGATGTCCACCAATAACAATTGAAGCTTTAACGAACGACATTCTTGACTCTGTCCCTCCATCAACAAATGCTAGGCATGCTACATTTTTCTTTGCCATTACCATGGAATTTGCACCATGAATAGTCCATTGCACTCCCCCTTGTAGCACTAGATCAATAGTTGGCACAACAAATCCAGTTACAGAATTGCCAACGGTGCTTGAATCGAAACATGCCTCAAATGGTGGCACTGATGCCACTCTCTTTAGTCTTCTGTCTGAAGCCTTCTTGAGGAAATCTCGAACAAAGGGCTTGTATACAGAGCGTTCTAATTCAGTGAAGGGACTCATGGGGCTAATTTTGGTGCCCCCGTTGCCCTTATTGTCAATGGAAAGAAGGGAAGGTTTTAGGTTCACAACACGGCCAACAATCTTAACTGATTTGACATCAATAAAGTATTCAATGGAAGGAACACCCTTCACAAACTTTGGACCTGTAACAACGGGGTTGACAACCAGTGGGGTGGTTTGGAGAAATTTGGAAACTTCCTGAGGATGTCCCTCAGCTCCAACAAGCAAGTTGGTGAATCCTTGCTTGTTTGAAGAAGGCAAACAGAGAGAAAACTTGGGAGGAAGCTTATTAGCCAATGCAAGCTGTGTTGGCAAAGCAAGTTGTGACCTTGAAAGGCCTATAATCCCTTTGCTGCTTTTGGGTAAGCCATTTAGAGGTGAATCATTACTAGTGAATGATGAAAATCCATCAGTGTTAACGCAGCTAGAAAGCAAGCCAGGCACTTGCAGTTGAGAAATGAATATGATATCCTCACCTAGACCACCACCGAAAAGGAATTTTGCTAATGGGTTGAAAGCTTCAGAAGGACAGGTGTTATTTGTGCAACCTGGTTTGAAGGTGCCACTGCAGCCAACGCATCCAATTTCGGGGCATGTCTTTGAGCCACAATTGATAGGACAGTAGGATGATGAATTGTAGTTATTATCACAGTCATACCAGAGGTTTTCTCCTGCAAGATCAATAACTAGATTGAAGTTGTGTCGAGGAGTTCCTATGCCTACTGAAGTATAGAACAGATTGGTTGCTGGGTCTTTCTTAATGGAAAGGATAAATGGGTGTGGTTTGGTATTCGGAGCATGTGATGCTGATAAGCAGGAAACTGAGAAAAAGGCTATTAAGAGAAGGAAGAAATGGATGGCAGAAGATGAAGCCATTTTGAACATAAAGATAATGAATGGTAATTGCTGCTTTGTATAGTCCAGAATGCAGAGTTCCCCCTTTATAGCAGGGCAGCAGGTCACACGGTAAATGTTATCTTACAATAATTATCTCTTTGACCATATTGTTTTTAGTCTTTTGTCAAAAAGGATGGCTAAATGGTGCAGACTTCAAGAAGAAGAACAAAACAAAGTAACGAAGGTAAATGTCGCTTAGTCTAAATGGATTTCAAGTAAGTAGTTAGTTACGTTAATACTATGGCTCGCATGTTGAAGGTGTATTACTTTTGTGATTGTTGATTTATTCCAAATAAATATAAGTCGTTTGCTATTTCCAAATAAAGTCAAAGTCAAACTGCAACACAGTTTCGTTGTATAAATCCCCTATGAACAATTAAACCCGGGGTTGTTCTATTTATTTATGGGTTTTATGTTTATTATTTTACATAACTTCACATTCTTTTATATATATATATATATATATATATATATTAGAAAAGTGAGATTCACATGTTTTTTTCTTTTTCACCATTTCACTTTCTCTCTCCATTATTGTGTGTGTTAAAAACTACACTTATGTTATGTAACATCACATTAATAAAACTCTTTATTTATACTTATGACCCAACCCATTTAAGTCATAAACTTAACGAGGTGGGTCACACCAAACGCTGTCCAGTTGTTTCCGAGTCCAGATCAGCATTGCAGATTTGCAGTTATTGCTTTGGTTGCCATTGTTGACATTCCATACATCTGTCTTACAATGCCCCAAGTTGTTAGAATTTAGAGGAAATGGATTTTCTTGTGCCCAAAAAAAAAATGATATAATCATGTAAGAAGATTACAATCATATAAACGTAAATCAACAGTTATAATTTGTTAATTATCTATTTAATATATTTTTATCTTTTTCTTTATTTCTATTAATCCATATTTATATGATTATAATTTTGTATATAACGATGTCATGTTTTTTCTCACGTTGGAACATCCAGATCCGAACTTAGAAGTGTATACATCATCTAAGCACGTGTATAACTTGTTGCAATGGAGTCTCTCAATCTCTCATCTTAAAAGCCTTGTATCACAAGTTGATACACCGTATTTATATCCCAGCAGGACAGGGGTGGAGCCTACGTTGTTATTGTGGCACTGGTCCCTATATACATTCTTTTGGGGGATGCCGTGTTGCAAGTCTTCCCCATATAAATTACGGACCAATTTAGTGGAGAAAATTCTGAAGGACTTAATTTTTAAGTGTTTTTTGATTAGTTCAAGAGTTTCATGAATATATCTTAATTCCTCATTGATAAATATATTCTTAAGCTGTTATTTTTTTTCGATTTATTATTGCTCTTTATATGGTGAGAAATTTTCAAATGGAAAATTAGTATTTTTTTCAATAAAAACAAAAGACCAATATCTCGTGGAGCAAATTAACGTATGTTCTACTCACCAAAAAAAAAAAATTAACGTATGTTCTTACTCGCACAGCTAAGAAGTGTGCATTTATGTTATATATTCTAAGGCAAAATTATTTCTGCCGGCTCTTTAAGAAAAAAAAACTGGTAAATTTTGTTTTTTTTAAAAAAAAAAAAAAAACTAGTGGGTCCTTCATTTTGTCTTTAAGACAGACTTTTTTTTCTGTTGTGCCGCATGAGAATAGCATGAGAATCGAAAGGAGAGTAGCATGAAAGTTTTTCTGCTATAACATAGAGAGAATGATTTCTCGTTTTATAGCATGGAATATATAGCCAAATCCTGTTTAGGTGCTGAAAAAGTACTCCACAATCCAAGTATCCTTTCACTTACAATCATCGTACTTAAAATCATAATTCTACTTAAAATTAGAAAGAGGACAAAAAATCGTAAAACATAAAATCTTAAGGTAAAAAAAATCATAAAAAATTGTAAAAGCGTGAAAGCATTTAAAATTTTGATAAAATCATTTTGACTAAAAAAAACCGTAAATCACAAATTTAAATCGAAATTTTAATTGTCAAGCTTACAACAACTATACAAATAAGATTGTCCTAAGCTTTGCGATGTTAAGTAAGCCCCTTACTTCATAGATATCATAAATAAACAAAACTACTCACCACAAAACACTCCTTAATATCTACACTGACTACACACATTTATCATAGAACTTCAACAACAAATAAAGGCATGCACAAGTGATTCTTGAAGAGCGTATTTTTTTTCATCATTTCGACGGAAGTGCAAAAGTTGTATACTACAGATTAACAAGACAAAATTTATCACCACTTTAGTTTTGTAATTTCAGAACTGGCTTCACAAACATTTGAAGAATATTGAGCCTGGTACCTATATAGATAGTGCCACCATAAATCATAATACTTGGTCTGTTGAGCCTGCCCATTACAATTATGGTACCTGGCATCTGTAAAATTGAGAGGGAAAGGTGAAATTGTAAAAACTGAGGAATGTAAAAGAAGATTCTTATATTTTTTGTTACAACCAGGGATTGAGATATTTGCATCATACCACTGTGCGGCCATTACTGTTTCAATGCTATCAGCAATGAGGTCCCTAGATTGGAGGCTATAATACATGCCTCTGGTGCCCATGGAGATAGCGTCGCTGACACCAACGGTGTTGAAACTGAACGGAATCATGCCGGCATCGGCGATGCCTTCCTTAACGGCTTCGGAGAGACGGAGGAGGTGCATTTTGCAGGTGTTTCCCTCGTACCACACGGAGGAGACACCAACTTGCGGCTTAGCCATGTCATCTTCGGAGTGTCCGACGCCATAGAGGACGGCCTGTGACGCGCCTTGAGACTTTGGCTAGGTGATGCGGGAACTGTACAGTATTGATGCTCAAGTATTTTTTGTCATCGGGTTTTTTTTAACATTTAATCAAGCAAAGGATCTAGATATTCGAGTATTTGCTCTTCCACGCAATATACTTGAGTATATGTGATAGACTAAGCTATCTTCAACAGAATTACAGAAAAGAAAATATACTGAATATGATATTATCCACGGCAAATTCGAGAACGCCGGCAACTCCAGGGGTTTAGCGAGAGAGAAAACAGAAGTTTGTTACAAGATTTTTGGATGAAAAATCCCTTGTGGTCCCTACTGTATTATATGTAAAAACTGAATGTAAGTTCCTAAAGAAAATACGATTGGGCTTGATTATCATATCTTCCACCCCTTTTATTTTAATAGACTAGGGAAATAGTTAATGGGTCACTAACTCAGCCCAATAACCCTTTTATCCTCCTTTTGTTACTTCAGCCACTTGTTGAGCCCAAATAATCCTTGAACCAGACAGGTGTCTTCCTCTCCTTTTTCTCCAACATGCGTGTTCCACGTTTGTCCTTGCCTGTCTGCATCTGATCAACCTTGTTCTTCAGCTCTTGGTCTAAGTCAGCTAAGCCACCATCCTCCATATTTAGGGGAGTGATTGAAGGTGTTCTATCAATATGGGTCATGTAGTCGAGTATATGAGACCAAATTTCCTACATAAATTTTCCAACTCATAACTCTCAAAAAGTTATGTGGAATGAAAAAAAAAAACACCTAATTCGGATACCCGAATCAAAATTTATGCCCTTTCCAATATTATGAATATATGACTATAAGAACTTGTTTATTCCAAAAAAAATTGTGAAAAAAAATTTAATCGTAAAACTTCGGAATACCAGATTTTTTTGGATCAAACAAGTTTTGCGGATTTCACAAAACCTATTGTCATTACAAAATTTTGAACATTGTAGAGTAGAACTTCGGAAAGTCATAACTTTTGATTTGCGTTTCTGAATCAAGTGCTTTTTTGTGTAAATTTGTTTTCCCATTTAGAGATTTGGTCCAAAAAACTTTCCACAAAATGCTTCTTTGTCCCCTTTGGAATATTTTATCTTTGCGAATTTATTTTATTTAAATTTTACTTTCAAACACTAACAAATAATCCTCTAAGAATTTTTCAATACGTAGCTCTCGAAAAATTATAAGAAATAAGAAAAACACTTCATTCGGACAAACAAATCAAAAAAATATAGTCTTACGAAGTTTTACAATTAATTTTTTTTTCACCAGAGTTTTTGGATCAAACAAGTTTCTATAGTCATATACTTATAATATTAGACTTGACTTAAGTAACATGAGGAGGAACTTTGTGGATATCACAAAACCTATTGGCATTACAAAATTTTGAAAATTTTAGAGTAAAACTTTGGAAGGTCATAACTTTTGACTCGGTATTCGAATTAGGTATTTGTTTTATTGATTCCACGTAACTTTCTAATAACTATGCGTTAAAAAATTCTCATAAAAAATTTGGTCTCATTTACTATTTCCTCGAGTATATGACTCATATACTCGAGTATATTGCGTGGAACAGCAAATACTCAAGTATAAACTCATGACACTTGATTTACTCGAATATAAAGACCAGTCAATGGTTAAACAATGACATATTGGTGTTATGTTTAAGAAAAATGTCATATTTTTAAATAGTTTAAAAATGAGGATAAAATGGTATTTTTCTATATAATTAAGGACACAATAATCAAGATGCTCGCCTCACAAGCCGTCCTCTATGGTGTCGGACTCTCCAAAAATGACATGGCTAAGCCGCAGGTTGGTGTCTCCTCCGTGTGGTTAGGGGGAAACACCTACAACATGCACCTTCTCCGCCTCTTGTAATGATGTCCGCGTAATAAATAAATGAGTAAATATTCTTTTCAAATTTTACGAAGTCCTCTTTAGTCCCTAGCAAATAAAAAGGCTCATCATGGTCTTTAAGAAATTCAAAATGGACCCATTTTAGTTCTTTTGGGGACTAATATGAGTCTTTTTTGAATTTGTGAGGTACCTCAATTTCAACTAAATGGGTATTAGAATCCAAGAAACTCATATGGAAGAATAGAAAAATGAATATTCACACTATCTGAATGTACTGTTACAGCTTATATACATGAAGCTCTGAAGTATAACCGAAAAGCTAACTAAGATAACTACTCTAACTTCTTCCGTAAAAACAGG